CCATTTTAATCGGTAAGAATGTTGATTTTGTGGATTTTACAATAGAAGCTCACGCTTTTCATATTGAAGAATGTTTTGAACGCATGGGATGGATAACCATGACCACAATGGAAGAACACTCTTATCCATGCCTTATGAAAGAATTTTATCAAAAAATAAATTTTACGACACGTTTAAACGAAATCCTTACTTTGTTAAAAATGTCCGGTTCACAATTTCAAAAGTGTTAATTCGTCAACTACTTAATCTCGAGCCTTGTGACTCAAAAGTGTTTTTACATAAGTCTCCACCAACCAGAGAAGGATACGATCCTTCTGAGGCATGTCGTCGAGTTACGGGGAAAGACTTAGAGAACATCACAAAAATTAGTGCACGTCAATTAACACTTTCATGCAAAGTTTTGCAAAATATCATTGCTCACATTATTTTTCTCACAAAGGTCATCGAGACGAAGTCAATCACTTCGATCTCTTTATTTTGGATTCTCTACTAGTCGGGTGTAAAATTGATTTTCCTACTATTGCACTTGGCCTTATGAAGCTTGTGCATGCATCACGACACACCAAAGCTTTACCTTACGAGATGCTTCTCACAAATTTTTTTAAGCATTTTAATGTTTCATTGGACGGAGAAGATTTTATAAAATTACACCCTACCGATACTATTAACATTCAGACATTAAAAAGGATGAAAATAGTAAAGGAACATAGGCAATGGGTGGCTCATACGAAAGGGTTTGATCTTACTTTCGGTCCATCTACTCTTCCAATTGAAAAAGAAGCTGACGCTGAACCCGAGAACAAGCCTATGTTTCTGAAGCTCCTATACCCGCATCAAATATTCCTGGCTCAAGTACACCTCATCCTTCTAGAGGTCGTTCTACATTCACCGAGGAATGGTGTAATCTCATTCATGGCGGATTGATTCGCTTACCTCGACGATTGATAGCATGGGTAGCCTACTACTCCAGATTCAGGCTTAGTAGATTACCATCCATGATTGACAGCTTGAGATGCAGTAGCAGCAGCTTGAGATGCAAGCTCAGTAGGTTGGTTTCTTCACTGATTTCTACACTCGATTCCCACCATCACCACCGCCTCCGACTTCTTAGTTTATTTCCTTGTCGTATTCTACTGGATCTTTATTATCTGCTTCTATATGTCATTTATTGAACTTTTATGCTTACCTATTGCAACATTCATTTCTCTTATGAATGGTTGTCTTTCTCCATGCTATTTTTGCTCCTTGTATTCTTATTTATTTATTTATTTTTTTTGCTTATGCCAAAAGGGGGAGGAAAAGTAGATGATTATGCAAAATAGGAGGAATATTGTAAGGAGGAAGTAAAAAACTTTTATATGCATGTTGATAAGGCGAACTTAAGTGAAATTGATAGGGGGAACATTACTTGTAATATTCAATATTTCTATTCCTTGTGCCAATTCAATTTGTTTAATATTTGTATTGTAAATCATCTTGTTTGTCATAATTAAAAATGTGAAAATTGTTGACCTAATGGTTAACTTCTCATTTTGATTTTTACAAACAAATTGCATTTAATTCTAGCTAATTGAATTTAATTGTTGTTAGTGATTATTGTGGAATTAACGAAAAATGAAAACACGAGAATCGAGATTAAGATCATACACATAGATGAAAAACCTTGACGCCAAACGATCAATGCACAAGGAAAGTTTGGAGATCGACGAACGAAGAGATTGAAATCGAGCTTTCGCGTCAAAAATCGTTTGGAAGAAGAAATTGAAGACATTAGATATAGATGCATTTTAGTACTCAAATGTAAAGGTAAAACACTTTAATATTTTGCATCGATTATAGCTCAAACAATTTTTATGCACGAGACTCTTTCACGACAAATAAAACTTGCATAAAAATTATTTTCAAAAAGATAAGTATTTCGATTTTCAAGGTTACATATTTACAGAATACTTATCTATACAATAAATGAAAAAATCCTTCAAATACCTGCATGAAAATTCATCACGAAGGAGAAAGTCTAGAGGGGCAATGTTCTGCCCATCCGGATATCCAGATGACCCAATGGTCAATTTATTTTACGGTTCTAACTCTGTCTCAAACGGCTAGTTTTTACCTCATCCGGATGGCTTGTCCGGATGGACAGAAGTTTTGCCCGTTTGAGTGTTATAAATACCTTTTCACTTCCTCACTTATAACAACAATTTTTGAGCATTTAAGAAAGTTATTTATTGATCTATTCTACCTTGTTTTCAATCTATTAAGATCAAATGACATACTTCTTGAAAATCTTTTTGAGTAATCAAACCTTACAAAATCACATATCTCATTAAAGTTTTTCATACAATACTTGAGCTATATTCTTTGTGATTTATTGAAGTGTTGTACCTATTTCTCTCTTGATTCTTAATTAAATTCATATCATTAATTAAGAGAGAAGTATTTGATTGTATCTTCAATTTTCTTTTAAACCTTGAATTGTGGGTCGATTGAGGTTCAGGAAAGCTCAACGTTGTAAAATATCGATGCTCCTTATTTGTAAGTCACCGGAAGCTTTGTAAGAAGGTTGAATTGCATCATAAGTTAATCAATATAGTGAAAAGATCTTACTCATGATAGAGAGCTTGGTAATGAGGGACGTAGATCATTGCATTGGATCAGACCTCCATATCATATCGTTTGACTTCTCTTCCCTTTTACTTATCTTTGCTTTTATTTTTTACTTGTGATTTCATCTTAATCTTTCCACTTTTTCATATTTAAGAACATTTGATTAATTGCTACATTCAAGTAAGCATTAGTTGTATATTTATAATTATTTTTCGAAAAAGTTGATATAACCAATTCACCCCCTTTTTGGTTAGCTAGTCTTGGGCTTTCAATAATGTGTTTCATACTATTTAAAAATACATAAAATTTATTTAGTGTAACACTTAGACTTTGCTTAAGGGGGATGAAATCCTAGAATAGATTTCTTGACTCAACACGTACTCAAATGTCTTTGCTGATGTTTTACTATGTATTGTGTCATCACCAACTAACTCTCATAATCTCGTTTTGTCAATTTTGATAATCTATCATCTTCAAACTTATAGAAATTATTTGATTGATAACTATGTAGTTACTAATCTTTCACGTAGTTGCTACATGAAACCTTAGAAACAAAAATGATAAATACAATATCTTGTTTGACAAAGATTTAAGTAATTATAAATTGTAAGTTCTACAGAATATATAAATAATGCATAATTATATAGGAGGGGTAGATAAAAATAAAGTTTGACCAATATGCACTGAAAAATAAAACAATACAATTAAAATGCATGTATTGTTTTATTTTTTCAACATTTGTATGATACTCGTGTGATGGTATCTTGGCACGTTGCGTAACCGTTGATGAAAGATCTATGGCGGTATTGCAATTAAACATTTTTCATCTTCAGGACAAATGAAAATTTAGTGACCTAATTGAAATTTCATTAAAAGTTTAACATTGNGTATTGCAATTAAACATTTTTCATCTTCAGGACAAATGAAAATTTAGTGACCTAATTGAAATTTCATTAAAAGTTTAACATTGTCAAAAAATTAGAACAATTATCCTCGGATTATCTCGGAAGTTGACTCGAAACTATACACATTTCTATCGCGCCTTCACAATCCGAATTATCTTGTTTGGCAAAGATTTAAGTAATTATATTGTAAGTTCTACAAAATATAAAAGGAATGAGTAAAAGTAGGTAAAAGTATGAATCATATAGAAGATGTGGATAAAAATAAAGTTTGACCAATGTGCACTAAAAAAATTAAAATGCATGTATTGATTTATTTTTTTAACGTTTGTATGATACTCGTGTAGTGGTATCTTGGCACGTTATGTAACCCATTGATGAAAGATCTGTGGCCTTATTGCAATTAAACATTTTCTTGATCAACGTGGAGATAAAATCAATTGAAATTCAGTGATTCAAGACAAATTAAAATTTAGTGACCTAATTGAAATTTCATTAAAAGTTGAACACCAAGAAAAAATCAAAACAACTATCCTCGAATTCTCTCGAAAGTTAACTCGAAACTACCCACATTTCTGTCACGCCTCCACAATCCGGTGTCTCCTCCGATCACCCAGAAACCCAGTAAAATAAGCAAGTTATTATATAATAACAAAAGACTGAAACCCAAATAGTGCACAAGATCTCCCTAAAGAAAGCTTATAAAATGGTGGAGTTTTCGAAAGTGAACATTAAGGACATAAAAGACGAAGATGATGACCAAGAAGAAGAAGAAGAGCCAGGAGAAGAAATTGAATCAGCGCCGCCTCTGAAAGTGGGTGAAGAAAGAGAAATAAAGTCCCCATTTGGCTGCCTCAAAAAGAAACTACTAAAACGTGGCGTTAATTGGGAGAGTCCTCAATTTGGTGATGAAGTCACCAGTAAGCACTCTACATCTACATATATGTCATATTTTCTACTCTAATCATGTGGAAATGAATGTAGTGGCAAATTAATGTGTTTTAAGACTTGTAGCTGGTAGGAGTAGTTTAACACTTACATCAGGATGTGAAGAGCTTTTGGATCTTAGCTTTTTAAGTTTGCTTTACTGGTTGTGAACATTTTGTACTCAACTGATTAATTGTTAACATGGTTTTTGTAGAAGAAAATGAACTAAAACTGAAATATGCAAGTTGGGGTGTAAGTAGTATACTGAACTAATTTAAATTCAGATTTTATTAAAAAATAGATTAGTTTGTAATCTAATTCTTATATATCGGTTGGTTGTTAGCCTAATAACTTTCTACAAGCTTAGGTCAACTGTATCAATTCTTTTTATGCTGCATCTGATACTTGTTTTTGGTCTATTGGAGTGTAGTTCACTATGTTGGGAGTCTGTTGGATGGTACGGAGTTCGTTTCTGGTGATATGGATAAGCCTTTCACTTTCAGGCTTGGACATGGTGAGTTTTTTGAGTTCATTTTGATTTTTTATCTGATTAGGATGTTTGGTTTTGGCTTTTTCAGGCTCTACTTCATTGTTTTTCCTATGCCACATGATATAAGGTGTTATAGCACATCAATTATCTCATAGTGCATCTATAGAAAGGAGAATTGAGTCAATTTTGGGGGATTTTTCTTTCCCCCCAGAAATAATGCATATGCCATTGTTGTGTTCCAGTTTCCTTCTGTAGTTCTTCCATTTTCTTGGAGATTGACTCTAATTGAGCCAGTGTTGAAATTTTCTTATTGAACATGACTAGAGCTAATAACGCTTTTATTAATCTCACATTTTTATATTTTTAAAACTGTATTGTATGTAATCTATAAGTGAGCTTTAATTCCCTTTTGAATAATTATTTCTCCTATCCTTGTGCAAATTGAACTGGAATTTGAAGCATCACCTTTCACTTGTTATTCTTTTCCTATTTAACAGGTGGTATGTAGCTCTTTTATTTATTTGAGATTTTGGCGGGGTCTTTTTTGTGTTTTTGTTTAGGTGAAGTTGTAACTGGGTTAGACCATGGAATTATTACAATGAGAAAAGGCGAAAAAGCGTTGTTCACTCTGCCTCCTGAAGTGGGTTATGGGGAAGCTGGCACTGATGGTGTTCCTCCGGATTCGATTATTCAATTTGAGGTGGAACTAACCTCATGGATTACAGTGGTAGATGTCTTCAGGGATGGTGGAATCATCAAGAAGATCATGGACAGGGGGGAACAAGTTGGCCCTCCTAATGATTTAGATGAAGTTTGTGGTAATGTGATTGATAGAATTTGACTATTTCTTTTCCCAACTGTCATATCTGATTGTGCATTTAACATTCTCGACATGAGCCAGTTTCTTGATTTCAATGTTCACGTGCAGTAAATTACAAGGTGACCCTGGTTGATGACACCGTTGTTGCAAAAACACCTGAAGAGGGAGTGGAGTTTTATGTCAAAGATGGTAAGTTACATGCGTCTCTGACAAGTTTTACCAATATATAATTTTCATGTAAAATGACCTAGTTTCCTTTTTTAGGTCACTTCTGTCCAGCATTACCCAAAGCTATCAAGACCATGCAAAGGGGGGAGAGAGTGAATTTGATTGTTCAGCCCCAGTGTAAGTTTCCTTCATTTTTACAAAGATAAGTATTAGCCCCTGTTTGGGCTCCATTAAAAATGAATTTTGGGGAAAATTTTATTTTGGAATAGTGATTTTTTGGAGAAACTATGGTTAAAAAATAAAGAAAGTTTTTGTCTTACGCGTAGTATTATTTTATTGGAGAATATGTGATTAAAAATAAGAAAGGGAAAAATGCATTTTTTTTCTAAAATGAAGCCCAAACAGGGGCTTAGTATCATCAGCATTGCACACTTTCAAATGATCTGAAAAGTTTGACAAATTGTTTATCCAGAATCAAGCTTTGAGTTAATCATGCATATGAAGGTTTCATAAGGTTTATAATTGAATTTTTGACCCTGATACTGCAAATCTCACACGATGCATTAGACTGATATTCGAATTTATTTTTCTCTTTTTCTATGGAGCACCCAAATATTCAAGAGCTAAGGCCATCCTGACACCCAAAACAACAAAAGAAAATATATTAAGCCTTCTTTTTCATAAGTTTGGTTAGCTTCTTCACCAATCTGCTTAATTCATTGCTACATCTATTAAAGATCCAATGAAATAAAATCCTTTGTAATCACATAAAGATATGTAAGTTTGGTCCACTTCTTTATATGCTAACCTTTTCTGCTAAAATCTCATCATTCTCATGATGTGATCTTCACTAGGTTGGTGCAAGATATGTCTCAACCAACTAATTAATCGTTCTCCTAATTTATCTTGATACCATGTTACTTCCGCATAATGCATAATTGTAATTATGCTATCCAAGTCAATTTCTTTTCCATACCCTCATACCTGAGGCACAAATTCTTGTAATATAGGTATTATATATCTCTTCTATGAGTTGGACAAATCCCTAAGATCCCCACTATGCCTTACATCAAATAATTTGTTGAAATACTATGATCTCATTGCTATGGAATGAATCTCTTAAACTTAGTTTAGATAACTTCCATGCCTCCTTTGTGAGATTTGTTTGCAAGCAACATTCCTCCCATATACTTACATATACTTTTTAGAAAGTGTTCGCTTTCATACTTCCATAAGTTTTTATAGCATTCTTGGTTAGACTTAAGTGTCATATGAACTTATCCATTCCACACCATATTTCCTTTGTAGTGGGCTTCTTGATGGATATTCCATTACTAAGATGATGATTGATTTCCTAATTTTCAGTTTGTCCTAATGCTGGAGACTACATTTAAAAAATGGACACTTCAGATATGAATCATGGAAGTAGTTTATTTTTCTCAGGAAGGGATGGAGTAATTTTCGGGATAGATTGGATTTTCTGGTGGGGAATGGTACGAATGTCAGGTTTTGGAAAGATTGTTGGTGTGGAGATCAGCTACTAAAAGTGCGGTTTCCTCCTTTGCATCGCATTGCTTTGGAGTCTTCTGCTATGGTAAATGATATAATAGCTATACATAATGGGAGTCCTAGCTGGAACATCGCTTTCGGGAGGGGTTTATAGGATTGTGAACTGGATTATTATGCGTTGTTTTTGACCTCTTGGTATGAGGTGCACATCCAGGTCGAAGAAGACGATTGTAGCAGGTGGAGGGTGACACGAAATGATATTTTCTACGTTCGCACTTATTTCAGACCCTTATTGGAACCTGTAGAGAGTTCATTCCGTTGGAAGAGAGTATTGCAATGTAAATTGCCTCCAAGGGTGCCATTTTTACCATGGAAGGTTGTGAGAGGGCAGGTGTTAACGATGGACAATCTTCGAAGAAAAGGTTGTTATGTTATTGAATGATGCTATATGTGTAAGATGGATGGGGAAACGATTGACCGCTTGTTCATTTATTATGATGGTGTTTGTTGGCTTTGGTACGGTATTCTAGTTTCTCAACATATGAATTGGGTGTTGCCAAGATGTATAAAGGACATGGTGTAGGCATGGAGGAGAGAGCTTCCAGATAAAAATAGCAAGTTTGTTTGGAATCTTATTTTAGGATGCATTGTATAGTGTGTGTGGAGAGAAATGAACGACTGCTGTTTTGTAGATCAAACGCCGGTGATAGAGCAGTTTACACTTTGTATAATTGGTTTAATGCTGCGGCTACTAATCCGATAGAAGGGCTGCCTAATTTTATGTTATTTCTATCTTGTTTACATTGATAATGGACTTCTTATGTATTATCTTTTGATTAATAAAATTATGTGATTATCTATAAAAAAAGAAAAAAAATTACTTTGCACCGCGAGCTACTTTTTTGAAGTATTATAAACTGGTTGTGTGAGTTTGTTTTTGGATTAAGTTTCGTGTATGTTGTTAATACTTACGCCCCGTTTGGAATCCATTAAATTACATTTTATTTTTTTCTCTCCTATTTTTAATTACACAATCTTTTATAAAATAATATTACACATAAATCAAAAAAATTTCCTTCTTTTTCAACTACTCATTTTTCAAAAAAACACTATTTCACCAAAGTGGGGGCCAAATGGGGCCCAAATCTATTGATCAACAAAGATTGTTTATCATGATGAGTATGTCATCTTTACTCAAGATGAACCTTACTATTGTAGATAATTTGGTTCATGTGGAAAAATAATCCGATTCTTTAAAGCCTTATGTAATAGTGTACAGTACGATATATATTTAAAACGAAAGCTTTCAAATTAGATAATAGGGTGACTCTTTAAAGCAGAAGAGGACAGTTAATGAAATCTTATACGTACCAAATCCTAGACTACTTTCGTACTGATACTTTCCCAAGCTTCACGGGAGGTGGAGTTAAATGGAATTTAGCTAAAGTAGTGTTAAATCATCTTTATGAGGGTATGACATGCTATACTTTATCTTTATGTGGTAAAACTGACAAAACATCTTATATTTAGTTCTCCCTTGCTTTGTTGTGTTTTATGTAATATCTACAAAATACAATCTCTTTCTAAGAAATAGTTAATCGGCTTTCTACAAATACCCTCATTTAAGTGCGTGGCGTGAAAAGTTACGTCAAATACTTGTGTTTTCAATTCTTACTTAAAACTGTATGTTACATCAAACGAAGTAAACAAGGACTGAAGTACTAGTTTTATCTTTTGTAAAGCTTTAGCATGCTGCATGGCGATAGTTAATTTCACGTTGGAAGTTGATGCTTACATGCTATTTATCAGTAAGAAGACCCTCTTTGGTATTAATTATTTTTCATTCTTATTAGAAAATCGGATACAATTGTGTTCTTGGGCAGTGGTTCTGAATGTAGTAGTAGTAGTAGTAATAATAATAATAATAATAATAATAATAATAATAGGTTTTAAAAATGCTCGTGGACAATGATTCTGAATGTCTTTATCTCTGTCTGTCACAATGGAAGACAAACATTTAGATGTACTATATGGATCCTGGGTTGAAGTTTTCATCTGATAAAGATTTGAGATTTCTTTCATGGCAATAACTTTTTACTGATTTGAACTTATTGACACTCTTTTATCAGCTCCATCAAATTCAAAATTTGTCGTCGTAACTGATAATTTTTTCTTATTTAACTAATTGGTGCAGATGCCTTTGGAGATGTGGGTAAGGAATCAGTGGAAGAGTTTCCCCCAGTTCCACCGGATTCTGTGCTGAATATTGCTTTGCAATTATCTGCAATCAAGCCTGTAATAGATGTTACTGGTGATATGAAAGTTAAAAAGAAAATTTTGAAGGAGGGAGAAGGTGTCCTTACAGCAAATGAAGGTGCTTCTGTTACTAGTAAGTATCTATACACGAGTATGGACTGTTATTGAGCAAAACATATTCACCTGTAAGGTCTCCTCTAATTTCAAGTTCACATGATGGGTTGTATGTTTTTATCTCATATGAAAGAAAATCTCAGATTAAAAACTATTGAATTTCTTTATCAATGGTCATCTGTAGTGTTTGAGGCTTGAAAATCATGATTGTTGGGTTTTTCTCCCATGGTTAGTTATGCATAAGTAGTCAGACAAGGGACGAAGGACCAGGGAATTTAATTTGTATTGTTTGCGCTACAAAGCCACACTGTGTTTCTTGTGGACTCTCTCGGTTTGAATGAGAACTTATGATGGAGATCCTATTAGATATATGAAGACTTTCCAAGTTTAAATTCTTTTTTCAGGAAAACTAGTTAGAGTTTAGTTTGATAGATTTTCTGGAATTTTTAATTAGTTGTTTCCAACTTAGCCCTTGTTTGAGCCACAATATTTTTCTTAGAATGCATTTTTGAATAGTGTATTGATGGGAAATGTGTGGTTAAAAAATAAAGAAAAGTTTTGGATTTGCGTGTAAATATTATTTTATTGAATAATGTGTTGTTAAAATGATGTCAAATCACTGTTTAAGGATGTATTTTTTTGAAAAAATGTGGATCAAACATGGCCTTAAATTAGATAAGTTTGAATTCTGTCTAAAGAGTACTTATGCATTGTAGTAGTTAGACTTGATTATTAAATAAACAAATATTTCTCTCGCTCTCTCTCTCTAATAATTCTGTTATTTTGATTCTTCTCCCCTTTCTATTTCCATCTTCTTCTCTCACTCCCCCCCCCCCCCCCCCCCCCCCCCCCCCCCCCCCCCCCCCCCCCCCCCCCTCCCCCCCTTCTCTTTTTTTTTCTCTCTTTTTCACTAATTATTGCTTACTCTATTAATAATTTTCCCCCCCCCCCCCCCCCCCCCCCCCCCGCGCCCTTTCTTTTCCCTTCTTCTACAAGTCTCTTTGTTTTTTGTTGCTTTCTATGTCAAAACTTCAAACAAAAGTATTGTTTTTGTCAGAGAACATTCCCGACATGGTATGATTAAGTTTTTCATTCTATGTTCAGTAAGTTAAAACTTCCATTTTTAGTCTAGCAGAAATGCTATTGTTACAAGTAAAAATTTAATTCGTTCATCAACATGGCACCATGTGTGGATGTCACCTTTCATTTGCGTTCTATAAGACTATATGGCGTGACTTTCCCTTTCGGGCTAGAAAAATGCGGCAGTCAGAAGTAAAATTTAACTTCTTGATAGCACTGCACTAGTAGATGATACAACAATGTCGATCACATTTAGATCTATGAAGTGTACATGGAAGCCTGAATGTTGCAAACAATGTCAAAATTGAAGATATTTGCATATATGACAGAAAGCACAATTTTATGGAATGATCTGAATCCATTGAACAAGGTTCACAGTCAGCTAGACAACTTTTTGTGTTTCTATAACATGGTCTTTTACCACTTATTATACCCTCTAGATTTTCAAGAATGATTGAAATAAAGGCCAGTTGTTACTATCAGCACATGTAATCCATGATATAACCTCATCTTCTAATGTTACATGCTCTCAAAATGTTAAATCTTACTCCAATTCTGCAGTTAGGTATATTGCTAAATTAGAGGATGGTAATGTATTTGAGAGAAAGGGTTTTGACGGTGGACAGCCATTGGAGTTCATCACAGCTGAAGGTGAGTACACTTTAAATGATTTTAGTTCCTTATTGGGCTTAGTTGAGTTGCATGTTATCGAGAAATGAAGGTATGATAGGTGGATGTCTGGATATCCTGTTTAAAGGCTGGTTTTGTTAGAATAGGTATTCAATAGGTAAATGATATTGGATGTGTACGAGGCACATTGTTTCGCATAAGGCATAAAATTTTTGGAATTCCATGCAGTGTACGATTACAATCAAAGAAAACACTTTCATTAACTCTCAAACTCTGATTGGTGTCAGAAATGGGTACTGTAGTAGCGAAGAATGGCTAGATTTTCTCAGAAGTCCTCCTACAAAATATATTTATAAAGCAACTGAGAATCATCAGTTGATATTCCGTGTTTATTATTTGTAGAGCAAGTAATTATTGGGTTGGACCGAGCTGCGACTACAATGAAGAAAGGTGAATGTGCGACATTAACAATTTCCCCTGAATATGGATTTGGAAGCTCTGAAGTAAAGCAGGATCTTTCTATAATTCCACCATCTTCAACTGTCGTGTATGAAGTTGAAATGTTGGATTTCACAAGGGTAAGTATTGGTACTGCAGAATCCATCCGAAGAAACACATGCATAGGAACCTGATTTCATGATATAGAATCCAGATGATATGCCCAAATTTAGTTATACATCATTCATTTTTTTCTCCGGCCAGGGAAATATAAAGTAATTTATGATGATGGGGGAATTCACCTTGATGTTATTGTCTGTTCTAGCTTTGACATTACATTTCTTGTAATTTACAAAAATGATTCCTTGAGAAGATTTGGGTCTCATCTGGAACTGTTATCCTCTCAATTTCTAGTGTTTCATCCCTCAGCTCTTTATTATTATTTTTCTTTTTCAGTGGCTCGTGAATTCCCATATTGATAATACTGCAGCCATCCAGTTTTGTTATTACACCATTTGGCTCCATTATCAGTCAAGTTAGTGCGAACACATTAGATATCTAGTCAAATTGGTGTAATCATCAAAAAACTTGGTTATCTGAATGTGTTTGTCTGGGTCTAGATTCAGTTATATTTGTCTGCCAATTATTTTCTTAGAATATAAAGTTTGCAAGTGAACTTGTGAAATCGAAGCGGCTATTGAGTCTCTACTTAGTGAAAGAACTAATGGAAGCCTTTATGCAGTGTTACAATATATTATAAATTTCCTTATCTTTTGATGATACTGCCCCAAATTAAAATATTATACTTGCATAATGTGCCTTGGAACTTAGTAGATGTAAACTTGAATCCAGTATTCTTCAAGCTGATTTTCTGAATAGTTTGTTCATAATATTTGGAATGCTAATGGACATATAATAATCTTTTCTAACATTGTCGAACCAGTTTATTCCTGTATGTGATCTTATGGAATAACATTATACGTGCTCAAATTACCTTTATAATGTCTTTTAAACCTCCTATTCCAAAATCAATGCGGAGTGTTTACTCAGCCTCCCAGAAGCATATAATACTGTTAAATTCAGGCTTTTACCCAACCGAGTCCCACTTATCTAATAGCGAAAGAGAAAAATGGATCTGATGCTACTAATTTGACTATAAACAAGAAAAGGAAGGGTGCCAAAAATTAGAAGAATTGAGAGCAAGAGGAAATCAATTTTTATTTATGTAAACAAGGGTTGAATGTTATAATGAATAAGCGCCCTCTTTTGAAGAGCAAGAAGCTGAAAGAAACTGAAATAAAGCAAACTTCTAATAGACTAAAACCTTATCGAAAACTTAAACTAATCTAAACTAATGTAAATGTATTTTGAGTCAAAATCTTATTTTAAAATCCTAACTTTATATATATATATCATTATGTGTATCTTATCTCTATCTCCATCAGGATCTCTTGAATATATGTTTGTAATAATAATTCTAAATTCATGAATGGTATTATCTTATGTGGATAGCCAAAAGTTCAGGATTCTAAATTATCTATCACATTAGTTACTGACCAAGATTCCAAGTCTTTTTTGATCATTTCTGAGAACTTTGGAGTAAAGAATTGCACTGTTTTGGTGCAATGTATATAGTTGGAATGAGGTGAGCTCAATATCAGCTGAAGTCAGTGGAACTAAAATTAAAGGTAAAACTTGGGAAGAGGTTGTCCTAAAATCACATGGTATGAGATGAAAGGAAGGAATTGAGCCTTTATTGTTGAACTTTTGGAGTTACATATCTTGATAGAGCAGAGTGCAGGAAGAGGATCCACGTAGCTGAGGCTACACATGGGTAAAGGACAAGACTTTGTTGGCTTTAGTTGAGTAAATATAGTTGGAATCCAGGCTACTGTTAGGATAGATTTATCAATTTTTGAACTTTTGCTACTCAGAAAGACATGTATCCTCTTTTCTTTTTTTTCGACTTTCTCTTTTTTCCTCTTTGTCCGTTATGTATTGATGTTACAAAATATTGGATGTGATTTATGTTTCTTTTATATTATATTAGTTGTATATGCTTTTCATAATTATAATTTCTAAATAAAAAGCTTATAAGAACCTTGTGTGGGAGAGTTAATTAGCATTTCTTTTTCCCATATCAAGTGTAGTTTCTTAAGATGTCTTTGCTAGCTTTTTACTAGATCTTGTGTTGTCTAGGATATTATAATTGTTCAAGTTCTAATTACGTCTTAATCCATGTTCACGGAAAGGAAAAAGCACCTTGGGAAATGAGTAATCTTGAGAAAATCGAGGCAGCTGTTAGGAAAAAAGAGGAAGGCAATCAACTTTTCAAAACTGGAAAGTATCAAAGAGCTGGGAAGAAATATGAGAAGGTACATTAGATGATTCATTTTGACATTAAATTTGAATGGCTTTATCTTCAGTCTCTCTGACGTATATGCATTTCGTTGTACTGCTCTCAGGCAGCTGAGTATGTGAGTGAAGGTGGGGTCTTCACAGACGAGGACCAAAAGCTAGTCAAGTCATTGAGATTGTCGTGCTGGTTGAATGGTGCAGCGTGTAATCTGAAACTGAATGATTTTCAGGAAGTAATTAAGCTATGTTCTAAGGTAACAATATACATATAAGTGTATTCTCGCGACATCCTCTTAGAATGACCCATTGCCCCATTAAAGTTAAAAATTAGTGTCTCATTATTTCCACATAATTATTCTAGTATCATCATAATATCAGCCAATTTGAATCTCATGTATATGCTGATAATGTGGTATGAAACCATGAAGCGAACTGTGAGACTCGGTGAATGTTGGAGTGATAATTCCTTTCCTTTCTTATTAAAATTTTTTCGCTTTACCAGTTTAGTGGCAGTCTCGTATCAGAAATTCAGACATAATATTCTGTCCCAATTGTTGATAGGTCCTAGATGTGGAGTCTTGCAATGTGAAAGCATTATACAGGAGAGTTCAAGCTTATATGGAGGTTGGTGAATTGCATCTGGCTGAGTTGGACATTAAGAAGGCCTTAGAAGTGGATCCTCTAAACAGGTATACACAGGCTACTGGTCCCTTCTAGTTTTACCTGGATAAGATTGTATTTTTGTGAACTTTACGTGTCTTGTGGTGCCATCTTGATGATTGATTTCAGGGAAGTGAAGTTAATCCAGAAGAATCTGAAAAACCTTCTAGCAGAGAGCAACAGAAGAGATGCAAAACTATACTCTGCTATGTTTTCACATATGGCCAATGATTCTTCTAATGCAGTTAAAGTAAGTTGTATGCTTCATTAAAGATTGATTCATCTAGTCAATAATCTTGCCCCTTTTTCTCCTCTCCCAGGGAGAGGTGGTTGATGTTAAACTACTGTCACCCTTCTCCCGTTTGGGCAAAAGAAAATAATTTATAGACCTAATACTGGGAGTATGCAATAAGTAAAGGTGAAGGAAAGGGATAGAGAAAGTGGAAAGGCATAGATAGGGGGAATGAAACTGAAAGAAAAATGATTGAAAAGAAAAGGACGAAAGAAGCTTAGGGAAAATATAGCACACCCTACAAAGGAAATTGATGAAAATATTACTATGCACTTGCTAATGTAAATGATGGATACTTTAATGATGCCAAGTTCAATAATGCTGTACTTAATTATTAATGTGAGTTTTTAGTGATCATGCATGTCGAACTTAGTTACCTTGGTAATTTGTTTCTATTTTGGCAGAGGTTGAAAACAGCAGATGACTAATAAGAGGAATGAGGATGTAGCCATGGATGGACAAATTAGATGTGAATCCAATCCTCCCTGACAATGGAAATGGCTCATGATTCTCATTTAACGGTGGTTCCTGTAATTTTTTCGGGACGCTTATATTAGCAAGAGGACATATAAACCGAGCATAGTGAAGAAAGCTCTCAAGAGAATTATGCTGAGATCCCTTTGATATTTGAAATGTAGTATGTATCCACCTTCAAATTCGTTGCATCTAGATCTAAAGCTTTCAATTTTTTTGCACTTAAGAGCCTTCAACGCAACGAAATCTTTAGTTTGACAGTTGATTATAATGCCCGTTTATTCTTGACTAAAATGGATATATCTCGACTACAACTCGAATTCGCCCTACTTCCTAGATACAAAATTTGAAGGACTTGGAATGAGAAAGCACGATGAATATGGCTCGTTTGCTCACTATTTTTCATGGAAGACAATACATTCAAGCATCTTCAAAATAACCCAAGTGGTCTAACCACGAGGTGGGCCCAAACCAAAAGGCAAGAGAGACTAAACAAATAAAGAAAGCTGCTTACTCTGCGTGTAAAACCTTGCTGTGGGAGTCTCTCTCAAATGACGAGTTCTTGGGTAAGACCCCTTTAGCTACCAATGACGAAGTTTTATTACTAGTGATAACTAGGTGAAGGAAAATCCATGTAAGAAGATTGTCGAACATGATCCAACCAAATAGAGCACAGAGCCAAAAGGTTCAGTCAAACATGGTAACTAGTCCAAGGACAGGGTCAAACTTGAAATCCAACTTTCGACTTCTGCATCTTGATTCAAATGATAGAAGCTAATTTGAAATCTCCTTCCATCAGCATCCAACTTTGAAGCAACTCGTTTAACTGGTTGGGCAATTAATTATTATTGCTTTAACTAATTCACCATCTACTTTACACAAGCTAAAAATTCTGATTGATACAAAAAAAATAAAAATAAAAATAAATAAATGAAGCTGGTGCACAGCAAACCTACAAATAGGCACAGAAGTGAATAGAAGTGACTGATATTCCATATAGTTGTGACAAATATTACATATAGCTGGCTCCAATTTATTAAGAAAAAATTTTAAATTTTATTGTTGCAGCAGTGAAAATTCTAAAGTGGTGCCTTTGAATACAATCGTTGTTCATAATATAAAGGACAAATTTCAGCAGCAAAAAAGTAACTCCAGCTAGTTAGAAAAACTATAAATGGGATAAATAATCTACATTCTCCAACAAAGGCCAGACTCAAAATTTTTGGCAGATCAGAATTTGAACTGAGGAACATATGAATCAATATCTGTTGCTCCCTGAATGTTGAACTGTCTACTGTGACTTGTATAAGGAATTTGATGTGGCATTTCCTCATTGAATGGACTTCAACTCCTTTCTTACAGAACTGGAGGACTTCTTATTACTTGTCACGCACTTCTCGTTTAGGTAGTAGATCCACTCTCCTGAATCTGTAGCTGAGTCTCATACCTGAAATTGTTAGGGTGAGGGGGTGAAGGAAGAAATCAATCAGTAGGGAGGGGAGAATAACTTCCACCAATCAGAAGCACCAAAGATATAATAAACCGGAAAATAGAACTCCACAAATATACAATGGTTGTAGAGTACAAGAATTACCACTAGAATTTCTCGAGAAGAACTTCAGTATCTCATCAATTATAATTACCTGCATTAAATTGACGAGCCTTATAAGTACTCACTGACCAGTTTGATTCCAAGGCATAAGACAAATTCAAACTCTTTGTGGGGGCATGCCCACATGTGGGATATGTGAGGGGAAGAGGAGATTGAACATCATTCATTTGGGCTTTCTGGAGAAGCACTAATGAGGTTTTCTATTACAAAACCATTTTTAGGGGTTTTTTGATGCATTTTACTTAACCCTCTATACTTCTAAATTCAAATAAAAGTAGATATATGGAGACACTTGTCTTTCTCTCTCTCTACTTCTTCGTTCTTTCTTTATTTTTTTTTTTATTTTTTTATTTTTTGATAGGTCTCTTCAAAATTGTAGTTTTTGATTTACTTGGCGCACAGCAGCTTGTTTAATCCATAATTGTTGCAAACACTTTGAATTAACAGTAATCTTCCATATTAAGGCTGACCTCAAGATATAAATAGAAAATATCATATAGATTGCCTTGTGTACTGAAAATCATACTAATGCAGAAGTTTTTGCTTTGGTTGAATGACTGTGTACAGAATGAATAGGTTTTTGATGATCAAACATTGGCTATCATGCACTAGCAGATAAAATAAAAAATGAAAAATAAAAATAATAGAAGCTTAATGATCATGCACTTACAGGAAATGAAAGATAAAATATAACAGTCCATTCAGTCCAACTTAACGGGGTCACCTACAATGCATAAACAAGAAATTACTCAACATTCAAAACAAAAGATGGTGCTATCCAGACCACTTGAATAATATCAAGATGAAATTGCAGGAAGAGAGAAAATCAACTTACAGAGAAAAGAACAGATAATGGTTGCACATACAGAATGAGCACGTGAAGGAGCATTGTCAGGACAATTGAACCAACGAGCCATAAATTACTCCAAGGAGGAATGACACTGAAAATTTAACAAAAAAGGTGAGCCTCTCTGTAAATTATTTGTTTTTTCTCTTTCTATTAACCTACTATTTCTGAACATAATTATGAAAATAAAAAGAGAGAAGATGTCTGTCAGAAGTCAGGGGATAAAAGGTAAATAGCCAGCTTCAATTGACTTGGTAATACGCAAAGCGAAAAAAAAAAAAGGTGAAAATCATACAAATCAATGTTAATTTGTTAAATGACGCACGTGCATTCAGAACTATAAAGTGTGCTCGGGCAATGGGAAAAAGCTCAACAAGCAATAAAGTTTCAGATAAGACTGAGTACTCACAAGAGGGACTGATTCTCACTGAGGTTGTTTAACGCGTTGAACATCTCAACGACTACAAGTACTGTCATTGCAACAGTGGATGGATGTCGATCAGTAAATACTGAACAAGGGTAATTTGTTTCCCTTGTTGTGCAACTGTCAAAATTCATCTGAAATTATTAGATTAAAAAACATTAGCAATCAGTAAGTGAAGATCGATGGCAGTGTCCACTATATTTCCAGTTAATGGAAAGAATTGCTCACAAATTAAAGAAGCCTAACAACGAAAGACAACAATTTTTATGACGAACTGACAGACCTCTATTTCCAACTAGTTAGCTTAAGAACAATTGAGTTGCAGAATCTAAACCTCAACAAAAATCCTAAAAACTGAAGAAAATAATTTTCTGTTCTCCATTCTACTATAAATGATCTGACATCTTATCAGATACAGAAGGAAAAAGCAGAGTCCACAGATCAGACATAGTAAGTTATCGAAGTCCAAAATTATAATGGCACAGTCTGCTAGATCTCTTATGGACACATTAACAAATTCTCCAATTGAAGACGTTGCATGTTAAATCTGTTGATTCAGGATTAGAGAACTCCAACTCCACCTAAAAGCCATCTCAATAAATTTAATCCACAGTTGGATATAAAAATGGAAGGAGAAAAGTTATCAATAAGAGAATTTTGTCAAACTTTACTGTGAGAATGGAGGGGAGGAACTTTTTCACATCTCCAAAATTGGCATAGTACTTACTAATTCCATATAAGGCAGTTTAGGTCCGCTGTCGGAGTAAACAAACCACCACACGAATCCCGCAACAGTAGCAATCCCAACATAAACTGCATTAACCAAAGTTGCACCGATAATGAGTTGAAGTACCAAAAAGGAAAACACGTTTTTACTGCTTCAATAGTTGGTAATTTCAATATCAAGTATGGTTGGACAGGAAGAGGAAGAGTTATGGCCACTCAACATCAGGTACAGTTGGACTGGAAGAGTTCACAACAACTATTTTCTTTGAATGAAAACTTTATGATGATCCTGTAAGACTAAGAAGAAGCAAGGAGCATGAAATCAAGTTTAAGACACAAGAGAAGGCTGATCCAACACTGAAATTAATTTTAGCTAAACATCAGTCAGCAATGTCTCAGACTTCACCCATTCTACATTATTCTCTCCTGTTTCCTACAATCTGTATCAGCTTTTCCGATGAATATGCACTCATCTTTAGAGTGATCAAAATTTTAGAATGACCAGAAAATGAAGCAAAACATTTTTTTTTTTTTTTAATAAAGAACTATCACAGACCAGTGTGTTTTTAGGCTCCGTCAAGAAAATGAAACAAATCTGTAGGTTGCTGAAGAAGTTTGCACCAATTGATCTAAGCTTAATCACTCAATCTTCTCAACCCAAATGCTTTCATATTAAGACAATCAGCCTGATAAAGAATCACAATTTCCGAAAAATTGTAATCATTACATGCTTTGCCTCAGGCTGACATGCATTACGAAAGACCTCATGATTTGTAAAACGAGCAACAAAAGAACAATTCAGGACTAAGATCAATATATGGGAGGAAACAATTGTTAAACGAATCTGTTAGTACCTCCAATAACTATATAGCGAAAGAACAGCCAACCACTGACAACAGCTTCATTAACCTGCCACTCAGACATGGTTAAATTGACGAGACAATTCTTTTAATGCAAGAAATATCTCAAGAAACAACTGTACTCAACAACATATTAGCTATCAAGAACATGATTTTTTGGCTACTGAACAAAAAGCAAACAAACACCCATAACTGTTTAAGGCAATTCAGGAAAGTAAATCATATTTCCAGAAGAACCTTAAGGAATTTGAAGATAATGACAACAGATGTGTTATGCATAAATTATGATCATATGCACACTCAGTCAGTGCAGTAACAAGGAAGCAAGTGAAATTAATTTTACATGTGATTGGATGAAGAAATTGCCTCATGTCGTGTTTTTCCAGTTCCCCAAAGTGATTGTTTTAGGTTGAAGAGATGTATAGGATTAAAGCAGATTGGATAAAATAGAGATGTGTCTCGTGTGAAGATCCCTGTACGATTAAAGGCGAGTTAAGCATACGTTATGCTTATACACAACAGTAACTAGACATGCTATTCTTTATAGTATTGAGTTGGAGTGTAAAAGAACAAAATATCCATAATACAAATGTAGCGATATAATGGATGTTAGTCATACTAAGAAAAGAGAATATATGCCAATTAAATGGAGGTGGCAGCAATTGAGGATAGATAAGGAAAAAATGACTTCAGCTAGTTGGAATATATTTTTCATAGATCTGAAGAGGCTCATGTTTAAAGATTGACGCTATCCCAATAGAGCATGCTAGAACAAATAGACTAAAACTAACAAGGGCTG